AAAATGATCAAAATCACATTTGAAGTCGAAACGGTATTATTAAAGCTCTCGAACCGTAGTTTCGGAAAAATAAAAATTAATTCGAAAAATTAGGAAATCTTAATAATATATTTCAACTCCGTTTCAAAAATTCAGGAAACCTGTAAATTTCAAATTTTGGGATCGAATTAAATATTTTCCCCAAAAGTTAAATTGTTAAAATTTGAAGTTTTTGGTTCCCTAAATAGTTTCATATATAATAATAACAAATAATAAATAGGTAAAAGGAAACAATTAATAATAATCGGTATATCAAATATGGATGAAGGAAAACGGGGTAGTCGGGTCAAAATAACCCGAAGTTTTCTAGAACCCAGTCGACCCAATCAACTCAAATCCCTTGCTTTATCAAGTTGTACGTTGAAGGCAAATAAACAGAACTAGCAGCAAAAAAAAGTACAACACTCTGAAAAATTCTCTCTCCCCCTTATCCATGGCGTCGTCTTCTTTCTTAACCCTAGCTGCTAATCCCTTCACTTCACACAGACCGAACCTCGCGCATTTCTCCACCAAAACCCCCATCGGTTAGTTTTAATTCATCTCCTCCTCTTTATTGTTCACCTGAATTTTTTTTCAATTTGCTGATAATTATTATTTGTTTCGCATAATAACTGTAATTGTGTTTGTGAATAGGTTTACAGAAGACTTCATTGAGAATCAATGCTATTTCAAAGACATACGAACCCGCTAAGGTTTTCTTCCCCCTCACATTCGTACAATTTAGTGTGTGTGTTAGAGAGAGAGAGAGAAGAGAGAGAGAGAGAGTATAAGTATATATACGATAATTGGAAATTAGGGCTGAAATGTTTGAATTTGTGCATATAGGTTGTGCCGCAAGCTGATAGAGTTTTGGTTCGTCTTGAGGAGCTAGCTGAGGTATTTTTTCCTTTTTCTTCTGGTTTGAAATTTTGTTGTTGCCATTCGTTTCGAGTTTTCTGCTTTTCGATCTACCATGATTTTATGCATTTTTTTTACGATTCAGTGATTTGCAATTTGTTAATTTAGTAAAATGATTTTTGTTTTTTTTTACGATCCTATTTGCAATTTAACAACCATGGTTTTACTTGTTTGAAGCCCGACGACGGCCTTCGTTTTTGTTTAATTTGGTGTTTGATTTATGGTTTAATTACTGCTTAAAGTTTGTCGCATTTATGATGTACGTTTCAGATTTCTCTTCGTTGGGACTCTGTAACTTTGTTCTAGTATCGAATTACAGTTAAACCTCTATAACATTCTATTAATTCAGCGGGACATTAAATTATCGAATTAATAATTCAGCATGTTAGTCACCGAGTCGGGACCGGGAGAAATTATTATTTTATCGAGGTTCTACTGTATTGAAGGATTCTTTTTGAATTTCTTGTTATCCTTAAGAATTATGTCTGTTGTTGATATTAATATCCTATCCTCGATGCAGACTTTATCGTGATGTATTATTGCCAAAGTTTATACAAATGCTCAAGCAGATATATTTTAGCATTAGTCGTCAATTTTATTTTTCTTTAGTTTCTAATTTAAATGAAGAGAATTTTTATTACAGAAATCAGCTGGTGGAGTCTTGCTGCCAAAGTCAGCAGTGAAATTCGAGCGTTACCTTGTCGGAGAGGTCAGTGAAGCATATTTTTAATTTTCTCGTCAAGATATTTTCCTCTTTATCTTATTTTCGTAATCAATAATTCCTTGCAGGTTGTTTCTCGCGGTGCGGAGGTTGAGGAAGTGGAAACCGGAAAGAAGGTAAAGTTCTAGAAGTTTCTTTTACTTCATATAAACTTTCTCGATTTTCGCTTTTGGTTTTGCAAGTTGAAAAAAATCGGATTTTTGTTTTTCGCCCTAATTGTGACGATAATTTCTTCCGTGCAGGTGCTTTTCTCTGATGTAACTGCATACGAGGTACGTTGTCTAGATATAAAATAAACGAAACAATCTCTTTGAATTGTTGGTTATATAGATTTCATATGTAACGTCTACGCGTGCTGGTAATTTTTATCGCGTAAATGTAACTTTAATTATTTGTATAATAAATTGAACTTCTCCGATATGTTGGTTTATTTATCAGGTTGATTTGGGAACATCTGCAAGGCATTGTTTCTGCAAAGCTAGTGATTTGCTGGCGGTGATCGAGTAGAGGCCGTATTTTCTTCCCGAGTACTCAGGTTTGAATTTTTAATGGGAAATAATTATTGTTTTATGTAGTATAATTGTTGAGCAAACACTTTTTAGCGCGAACCTTCGAATTATAATCATGGAATAAGTTATTGCTTCCAAGTTTTGTTAAGTATTACTAAAGATCTTTCTTCTTCATAGTTATTTAAATTTACAATTTTATTTTATTAGTGATATTTTTTCTCCAACTATAAGATTTAAATTTTGTTATAATTAGTTGCGGAAATAAAGAAATGGAAAGAAACAAAGAAAAAGATAGTTTTTTTCCTTTTCTTTTTGATAAAAGGGGCCGATATTTGACGTGCATTGGATCAATTTTGTTTCGCGCAATAGTCTGCAAATCATACCGAAAGTGTAAATTATATTGAATGGTGCGACGAAGTGGGCCTAAAATATGTTCGGAGTTGAATTCGGAGTGTTGAAAATTTAGAATGAAAAATAAATAAAAATTGTAGTGTATATAAATAGTGTGGAGGTCGTTTAAATAATTTAATAAAAAAATCAATTATTTTATCAGATCCTAATATGTCTGAGTAAATTGCAAAAAGTACCACTGTGTAATCTCTAAATAGCAAAAATCCCCTTATGACAAATAAACTAGCAAAAACCTCCCTGTGAAATTATTTAAATAGCACACTCGGCCCATTTATCATTTGAGTGTTGGCTTCATATAAAAAGACACAAATACTCCCGGGATTTTGCAATTAATAAATTCTTATATTTTTTAAATATTTTAATTATTTTATTTTTGTTATATCTTAATTATAAAGATACAAAGGGGTCTTTGATTTATTTTTATTTTTATTAACACATAGTTTTTGTATATATTTTAAATTATTGCTACATCAAAGTAAAATTTAAATTTCCCGTTATATATATTTAAAGAAAATCTATACTTAATTTGATTAACAAATTGGTAATAATTTGTAAATTGAATTATTTACTATTTTTTAGACAATATTGTAATTTCTAAACAATCAAATTAAAAGGAATATATATATATATATATAATATATATACATATAAATACATTTTTAGGGACAATTTCGTCATTTCACGTCCAAAAACCTACTACCAGTCGCGCAACCCGCGAGTGAGCCACACTTAAGTCAACCAGGGGGGTTTTTGTCTTTGACTAAATTTCACAGGGGGTTTTTTGCTAGTTTATTTATCACAGAGGGATTTTTGCTATTTGGAAATTACACAGGGGTACTTTTTGCAGTTTACTCTAATATGTCTAGCAAAAATGCTACATGAAAGGCAAGATATAGCAAAATAAGTGATGATAACATGGTATTTGCGGATCGTTCCGACATGATACTGGAGATATCTAATATCAAATAAAAAGTTTAATTATTTAATTAATAGTGGTTAATCTCTCCAATCAACGAGGCGTAATAAGATTAACTTATCTTGGGGAAAGTAATTGTTCAAGATTTTGTGCCTCCAACTAAATGCTATATTTAATTAAACTAATCAGTAATCACATTTAGGTTGCTGGTTAACCAAATTAATCAACAAGTTAAGCCACACTTATTTCCTCCAATCACTCCGACACACAAAGCTAATGATGTTTTTTCAATAAAGTTTTTACATTCTTACACATGCAAACTGCAAAAGCAAAAATAATTTGAGGTTTAATTAACTGGATATATAAATAAATTATAATTAAATATTTTATATACAAAGTAATATTTTAAATAATCAAACCCTATTATAAGTTTTCTAATGAATATTAAAGAATGGGACATAAAGCTAAATGTAGTGAGAATTTAATTTTAATATATTTCTCTAGCACAACAAAATAATAAGGTTTTGTGGAAAAATAAAATAAAATTGAAGTAATCAATTTGGTTACCCGGAAGTTTGAATTATTTACAATTAGACCCCAGAAATGAGAAAACCAGCAGAGTAGTTTACTTATTTCCCTCTCTAACTAACCCGCTGGCGACTCTAAATCCTCGGGGGCAACCACAGCCTGGCTACGGCGGCCGCCGCCGGAGATTTGGAACGACGTCGTACGGGGAGATATAGTAATTGACCTCAGCCAGCCGGAGACGACCGGTAACGGTATTGCCACCGGCGGTTGCTTGTCATCTGAAGTGAAACCGGAAACTACTCGGCTATGACTTGTGAACCCTACCGGAACCTCGCATCCACCATCGCCGATGATGTACTCGAACGATCCCAGCGAATACGTCCGCCGCCGCCCCCCTCCTTCCACCGCCGCCGCCGCCGCCACTTCTCCATCGCCGCGGCGGCGACTGATACTTCCGATCTCAATCCTGAAACTTCCGCCGCGGCTTCCAAAGCTGTTATCCGAAATGATTGTATCGAGTACGTCGGAGGAGCTAGAGGGCGGGGGGAGCACGACGGCGGACCTGCAGAGGGGACACGTCAGATTGGACACGATCCACGCGTCGATGCACGCGGCGTGGAACGCGTGGCAGCAGAGCGGCAGCAGGCGGAGCTGGTCGCGCGGCTCGAACTTCGACAGGCAGACGGCGCAGTCACCTCCGGCGGCGCCAGCCTGCAGGGTGACGGAGCGGAAGGTGAAGATCGGAAGTGAGTCGAGCAGATACTCGAAATCCGCCACGTGGCGTTTCTGCCGATTCGAGACGACGACAGCGACGTCGTCGGCGGAGAGGAGTGGTGGAAGCGCCTTGAGAGGCACCGGAGGAGGAGGTATATGGCGGCGGAGACTGTTACGGCGGAAGAGATGATAATAATCACTACGATAGATGTGTATGCGACGGACATATTATGAGAGAGAAGGTAATGTGTAGAGAGAGAAACAAGAGAGATAGAGAGAGAGAGAGAGAGAGAGAGAGTAGGCCATTTCTAGAGAGAGATGTGTACTTATATTATTGGGTGATTATGATGTCATCAATGGTCTTTTTTTTATTATTATTGGCTTCATGAAGGAAACTATTGTGGGGGCATTTTGGTAATTTTGAGGTTTCTTAAACACTACAATGCAAAAACGTTTTTTCTTAATTTGCTCCAAAAGATGAAATCCCTCGCTCTGAGTGACGTTTTGCCTTAATTTGATCACATTCACATGTGGTGAATTGAATTTTTGTTAGCCTTGGTATGGTTGCAATTGTCGTGTAGCAGAGAGTCGAGTTGGATCGAGTTATCAATTGCTCTGTGGTGAAAGTTCGAGAGAGGATTGAGTTGTAATCGAAAGAGGGTAGGTGCTTAAGTGTGTGCTGAATGCAATACGATGCTTAAGTGTATATCGAGTGATTTTAAACTGTATATCTACGCAATTAATCACTCACTAAACATATGCACATGTAACAGTGTGTATGTGTAGATATATAATTTGAAATCTACTTGTGTACGTAAATATATAATTTGAAATCTACAATGTATTTCATCAGGTGTAACATCTACAAAACTGGTTGCATGTGTGAGCGCACGCACAAGAATTGTCAACCTACTAAACCTAATGTAGATATATAGACACACATTTTGTGGGACTTTGACCCTCGATTCCAGCACATATTTTCAATTTTGACCCTCAGTTTGAGAAGCATTGGGCCCCCAAAATTGAGTAATTAAATCCAAGTCAACCTTTTCTCACAATTTCCATCAACAATGTTCACATTAGTGAACTTGTAAATATTGTTATTTATGTATTACATTATTCTACAAACAAATATAGAAACTTCAGCAAATATCACATTTTTCTTTTAAAGAAGGTATAATTATAAGTAAACATGGTAGAGTATATATTACTTACTATAAACATCTATTTACATTTTTGCCATTATTGTGTCGATACGTCTGCGTTTGTTCCGGAACATTCTCCACCGGCCCCACAAACATCGTGTCTGCAGAGTGGACATACCCTGATCAAGAACACAAGCAAATCAAGGTCAAATACGTACAGTTAAACCTCTATAAATTAATAGAGTCGAGACTACCAGAATTCTATTAATGTAGCAGAATATTAAATTGTCGAATTTATGATTTAGTACTTTGTCCCCATGAAGTATACATACACTACTATACATCCATCACACACACACACATGGATGTGTGTGTGCTTTTGTGTCTATATATCAGGTGTATTTCACTTGATGTAGCATCTAATAAAAACCCGAAATTAAAAAAAAAAAAAAAAACGCAAAAGCAAAATTACTCGTTTGGAATTTACCTATTTACTTCCTTCAGCCATTTATCAATGCAAGAAACGTGATATTCGTGATTGCATGGCAGAACTCTTAATTTGTCGCCTTCCTCATAATCCGATAAACAAATATAGCACCTGTAAGTAAAGTACAATTTAATTACACACGAAAATCTAAAAAAGAACGATATACATAAATTAGTAACGAAAATAGAAAGGAATAATAAAACCCACACACGTTAAATATACATAACTTTTCAGAATCTTCT